CTGAGTTCTAAAATAATTACTCACCCTTCTTTTAAATGTTTACACACTTTAAAAATATAGTCAAATGATTTCAGATGTATAAAGCTTGTTAAATTAATGGAGTGTAATAAAAAGTTAGTACATATAAAAGTTTATAAGATACAAGCAGTTAAATGATTAAAAAGATATAGCAAAATAATCTTGGAACTAGACTATCATGTATTTGTTGTGCATCATCATGTTAAAAACTTTCAAAAGGTTTACATTGAAGCCAATTAAAAAAACTGAGAAATAGGAAAAACGGATGGATTAAATAAGTCTTTTTTGGAAACTTAAAGTTTTCTTAATATTGCTCCAAAAATGCATCCATAGAAACAAATTAGGAAATAATTGCTTTTTTCCTTTGGAAAAAATCAACCCAATGAAAACATATCATGTTTGCTCAAAATTTTCTTCAAAAATATTGGATGTGGTTGTGATTCTTTAAGAAAAATGTATAGTTTTGTTACTTAAACATAGGAAGTCAAAACAATTCCATATATTAAAGAAGAAATTTTGCAGGGAAACTTTTGTCCTGGTATACTAAGTTTTGTTTTATCTTATTTGTTCCGGCCACTTTCTCTGTCCCTGACAAACATACATATCCCTGAGATATGTATATCGCTCTTTTAGTGCTTGCTAGAAACAAAAAGCAGACAGCATTACTGATTTCTGAATGTCTGATGATCCTAAGGGACTGCGGAGAAGGGAAGTTACTTCCTTGACAGCTCTTCACAGAATGAAAATGAGAGATGTAGCTATCTTACACCTTTTGGTCAAGACCCCACAGGTTTCATATTACTACTTTTTAAGGCCAGGAGTCGTCTTTCAGCAGTGCAGACAAAAGTAAGGGTCAGGTCTCTACTGCTTGAACAGAAGCCCAGTATAGACAAAAGATGGTGGGGAAAGAGATGGCTACTTGCTGGGAGAGTGAGGGGAAGGGCCCTATCGGGGGAGAGTGAGGGGAAGGGCCCTATCGGCAGAAGTATACAGTATACAGGGATCTAAAGTTGAGATCATGGAGTACAATACGTGACTTACACTGTATTGAGCATCTGCTCACCTATGCTACTGTCTGCAGTGCCACTAGAATCCTAAATCTACCTGTGGTTTAGGGTCCTACTTAACATTTTGCATAGACCTAATAAGAATTTTATGGTTGCTTAGAGCAAATCTAATGGTCCCTGAAAACTTATTTAATGTAGGGAAGGGAAACAATTGCTTGAAAACAATATTTACCCAAAAGACTAGAATGGCTCATTAGGTACATTTGTATGCGGGCTTTTTCAATTTACACTGCATTATTGAAAATAAATATAAAAAGGTAACAGCTCCCCTGGAACCACGTAATCCATCATGTACTTTCTCTGTACAGTTCTGTGGTTTACAGCTGTGAAAGTACAAAAAAGCTCTGCAGTGCAAAATACAATTCTTATTAAGTACTGTTACTGTTTCCAGTAAATAATTTCAATAAAAATAACTCAGGCTTTTAGGAATGTGAGTTTTTCAAACTGTTGTAAAATTACTACAATATATTTTACACCAACCATTTGCCAAATTTGATTTTGCTCAAATTAGACTAATGTTTGTGATATGGCAGAAATGTAGATAAGCAACAAAAAAACATTCAGGATGGGAGCAGGGAGGTTACAACTTCTCCAAACTAAAATATTTTAAATTTCTTACTAAAGAGATACATAAAGCAACATATTCATTGACTAAAACTGTGCTAAGTTTTTACTTGGGGCTTCTGTGAGTACACTCAGAGAGTAACTTGTGAACGAGGCTCTAAAGGCAATGGGTTAGTTATACTAAATATATACCCTGTCTTGTGAGATAGCTAAGAAAGCAGTGGGGGAAAAAAAAAAATCTTTTGCATTAATTCTATTAACCACTGATAAGGGACTAAAAATAATTAATTAGGGGGTTATTTTTGAAGTTAGATATCCTTATAATTTTGCAGCCTGATTTTTCCTAGATGCAGAGCACCCATAAATCAAGTTTAGACACAGAAGTCATTCACTATTGTTATTAACAATATCAAAAATAACACAACAAGAGGGCACAAACTGAGCTATTATTCCTTTGGTGTTTGACAACAATTTAAATTTAAGAAAATGAATATTGAAATACCTTACTACTTATGATGAAACGTACAGGATACTCATAGAGAACAATGAAATAGTTAAAAAGATGTTGCTCATTGCTGAACACTTATGCTACATTTGATCGTGAAATTGTTAGCTTTTTGGATATTAGGTGCAAAAAAGTGCAAAGACTATTTAGTTAACTGTTACAGTACCACATTACAAAAAGTATTTTCTAGGCCACAAAGGCCACTGCTGATATAATTAAGATAAATGTATACACAAAATAGTTTTTCAATCTCCACATATATACACACCAGTTTCTATATCAACCTTGCAAAATCATTATGAAAATGATCTAGGCCACAAAGTCTCATGATGATAACAATGATGGGAGGAAAAAAACCCCACAGAGGAGAGCTTGTTCTCCTATTTAAAAAATTACTCAGCCAGAGCAAACAGAGGAATGAAATTCTGCAAGGCTGTTCTGTATTTATGGTGATGAAAATACAATCTTGAGCAGGGAGGATCAGTGTTCAGCATTACCAACCCTCTCTGGGAAAAACTATTTCTGTCTAGAGGCCATGAATAGCAGCCTGGAACAGACATCCAAGAACTTGGGCTGGAGCCTTTTTATTTTCTTTTTTTTCTTTTAATTTGTAAAGAATGCCTGAAAGCTTTATTTATTTGTTTGTTTGTTTGCTTGCTGTGTTTGTGTTTGTAGGCACAGAAGGCAAGGTATAAAACCTGCCTCCTTTTTGCCTTAGAAACACCTGTAATGTTAAGACCAGCCTTCCTAACTTTTCTGGAGCAGTTAAGATACTTCAAGGCACATTTGACTGTCTCAGAGATTAGTTAGCAGAATGGAGGGACTGGATCTTCATAAACGTATTCTGTGTCAAGCAGGCCAAACTAACCAAGCCAAAACAGTTCTTCAGAAGTCTGTCTAAACTGCCTTTTCCCTTCATAACTAGATTAATTCTCACACATTCTTCCATTATCGTAAAACAATCTTCCATTGGCATTTTTCTCGTGTGTGACACTTTTCTTCTGTAAAAACGCTGTTTTGGAAAATACTATCTTCTCAGTTTTCTTTATACATTACAAAGATACAAAAAAAGCCGCCACCCCAACTTTTTTCTAGTTGCAGTTCAGCTTTCAAAATCTCAGGCCCAATGGTGCAGTCTTTGTCACGCTCTTCGCAGAAAGAAAAAAAAAAAAAACAGGAAAAAGAAAAAAAAGAAAATAACTGTCTAACTGAGGCACACTGCAGTGCTAAAAAGAGCTAAATCCACAAAATAATGTGTACTTCTCTTCCAGTTTTTAAAACAGCTCACTTCAGCCAATACTTTTTTGCATTTGCTGTCACTGTGTATTCTAATAAATGAGTTTACTAGTTTATGAAATGGTTACATTTCAATTTCTCTCTCCATATGTTGATACAAAACATATCTCAAGTTCATATTTGGCATATAATTCTAGAAGCATGCAGCCTGGGACCAGAAACTACTCCACGTGAGCTATTCACTCAGTCAAAATAACTTCAAAGAAATCTAATACTGTCACACTAAATCAAGAATCAGAAAAATGTTCTGTGTAACTGCAGTTTTTGGTCAATTTTTTGAACAGCTAAAACACATTAAATAAATTCCTTTACTTCAGAGCATTCTCTCGCCTACAGTTTGACCTGCATAAAGACCGAATAAGGACTGCATCATGCCAGCGGCAAATGGGCTATTTTGAAGGGCCTGGATGCACCTCATCAGGAGACACCTACACCTCTGTGGAGCTGCGTCAATTTCCACACAGCTCATTGCAGATGTATTTGCTTTCCACAACGATACCCGTACGTGCGCTGCTCAGTGCCATGCAGAGACATCTGAGCTAGCCCTTCATCAGCCGGTGGGTACTTGAAGCAAAACAGCCGCTGAGTACAGCCACCTGCCTGGTTGTCTTGCTGGACAGGCTAACGAGTTCCTGTAGGTGCAGCGGGCATCGTGATTGCTGGAAGATTATAACTGCATAGATCCAGGTGTGAATCCTGTTCCATAAAGGCTGAACTAAAATCCAGTGAAGCCAGTAGGGTCCTTCTCATCAGCTTCAGTGGGCTTTTGATCAGCCCTTCCTCCCTGCCCAAGGAATGAACTGACTTTCCAAACACTCAAAATGTGGCAACAGTTGTTTTTTTCATGCAACATTCAGTTTGAAGTGTTATCTTGAGAAGTCATACAGGATTTAGTGCAATTTAGAAGAAATTTACTACAAGAGCTATATTTGCTCTCCCTCAAAAGAATTAGGCATTACAAGCTGCAGTGGTTTTGAATTGCTTAAGGGATTTTTTTTCTGATTTCTTTGTCTATGCAAAGATATAGATCATATCAAAACACTGCTTGGATATGACACTGGATATATGCCAGCGAGAAAACAAGTGAATGAATTTGTATGAGGAAGGGTTATATTTGGCTCAAGTCAACTTCATTCATACAGTAAGAAATTATTATAAACTGTAATATAAGACTTAGAATAGGAAAAATGTATTTCAATAAAAAAATATGGATACAGTTCATCTGCGGAAGCCAAACCTTCTATTTATGTAGATGTGAGCTACAAGGGAGCTTTAGACACTGAACACGATGAATCCACTCTTGTTCCTTAGGGCGTAAGCGGTGGTTTTGGTGATGAACAAGATCCCTGGCTATCAAAACTGGTTGCTCGGCCAGGTAACTGCAAGAAAAGCGTTAGTTTTACAAATGTCATCATATCTGGCCATGCATCACACTCATTTCAGAGGATGAGAGACTCCCTCAAAGAAGAACCCAAGTCACATCTAGACCCTTTCTGGATCAAAGTCTCCAGCAGAACTAATAATGGAAAGAAAATTCATAAAGTGAGCTCCTAAAAATGGCTCTGTCTCATTCCACAGGAGTGGGTTTATTTCACCAATCAGGGGTGGTACATGAGACAGGGAAAGCCATGAACCTCTGAAAAGAGGTTTCTCTGCTGCACTGACTCAGTTTCCCTGCCCTCACACTTTAGGTGTTTTACTGAAGCCTTGCTGTTGGGTTTTTTCTACCTGTCACTGCAGATGCTGTGCAGCACTGGGGAAAACAAATGGCCTGTGATGCCTCAGAGAGCAACTCATTTTTCTACAGAGACTGGGTTTGGGGAGGGCTAAACAGCGTGTCCTCCAGTGTGTTCCAAAGCAGGGCCTGCTGCTTCTTGAGGCTTCAATATGAATCTTTCTGAACCCAAAGCTGTGAGCATTTTGTATACAGAAAACCAGTAAGATGTGGCCACAGCAGGTTGAAGAGGGTGTCCAAGCCCAGGGACTTGTAGATATCATCACCCATGCATTGGAATAAGCTTCCAGTAAGTGTCTGTTTGAGTAACTCTGGAGGTAGCTGCTGGTATGGTGCCTCAACTTAGCCTAATTAGCAGGCCAGTTTCAGATTAATGTTTTAGCAACATAACTGTTCATGCTAAGGATTTTTGAATAGGAAATGATTGCTTTTGAAATACTTGCAAATGATCTTTTCTAAGTGAATGTAAGCTCCTTATCATAATCTCTGGAAATTTCAAATGTCTTAATTGTTTCATGGTACAATGCTGTCAGCGCACCATGGAAACTTTTCAAGTGGTGCATTTAAGCAATCAATAAACCCATGCAACTAGATTTAGGTTGTGCTAAGGATCTTATACCTGTTCCATCGATGCTACACTGATTTTCATAATTCTCAGAAGCACGTAAGTGTGAGAGAGACAAAAATATTCAATATACTGAAAAGGAGAGAATTTCGCTACTTCTTACCTCTACTAGTGGATGCCAGTGAGTTATTGGTTTACGTGGGTAAGCCAACATTTCATTCCAATGATCTCTTCCAAGCCCTTCAGCATCAATTCCTGTCCGACATACCCCAATGACCTCATTGTGCCCTACTCTGAGAATTGTAGAGAGGCAGAAGTTTTTTTAATAAAAATAGTTTTAATAACATCTGATGTATAATTCAGTTTACCGGTTTAGTGCAGCACAGAATACATGCCCAAAGTTTTCACATTATTTATTACAGATATTAGTTTTAGTGGTAATATAGTAATATTAAGTTCTGTAATGGTAGCATCAAAAACCTCCAGCCACTACCAGAGTGCTTCTAGCAGCTACAAAAATAGCAATGAAGACACAACCCTTGCCATTAAAAGGTTACAACCCAAACGGCACAAGGACAGAAAAGGACCATAATACACCAAATGATTTAGAAGGAAAACATGCTTAAATTTTGTGGGAGAGGAAGGTGAAGGAAGATGATGGGGAATACATTTCCTGCTGCAAATGCTTCAGATGTCATTTCACACTATATTTCCCAGCTCTAACTCTTGTGGTCATTGGAACTTCAGCCAAAAATGTGAAAGAGAGGGGTATAGCCGTAATAGCTGTAACTTAATACTTCATACTCTTGGCAGCGCCATAGAGTTGTTGAGGGACTCCAGAAAGTAATTTTCTGTACCTTGCCTACATGTACCTTAGGATAATGTTTCCTAACTTCATGTTAGCAAATGCTCTGAAAGGAGCAGCTGAAGAGGCCTGAAAGTGGGCAAGTTGCTGTGCTCTTCTCCCCAGTGACACCACAGTGCCCCTTTCACATCTGACTGAGAAAATCTTCCTGACAGAAGTTGGAGGACAATCAGAAATCTGATGGTGAGGAAAAATAATCTGAAGGTTCGCGTTACTAAATGGGAGTTTCACTGTTTATTTGCCCTGCCGTCTCAAGAGCTCATTACTAATGGCGCTTGAACAAAGCAGACTTGGCTCAGGCATGATTCTGCTAGTCACTGTCTAGTTTAACCTGCAGTCCTTGAACTACTCTAAGCAGGAGTATCTTCCTGTCAGTTCTCGGTGAGGACATAGATAATTGAGGCTCAGCGAGCACTGAACCCCAAGGTTACAAAGCTTCTTTATTGTGTCAACTGAAGGATTAATCATGACTTAATTCAATGAGGTAATTAGCACCTAAATCTTTTTTAGTTATCGAAATTTTCTTTGATTTCAAATGCCTGGCATTGAAATAGAAATTAGAGATGTGAAGGTCTTTTTTAAACTGAGACATACCTGATTTATAAAGCTTTTATATAGTCCGGCCACCAGATGGGGACAGAAATGTATGCCAATGCTAGCGGCCCATAAGAAGATCGAGCCATGTTTCTTCCTCATCACAGTTATTTATGACGCAGATAAAATGGCCTGAGCTCTAAAAGGCGTGGAAGCTTTAAACCTCTTCAGGAAAAGACCTGAAGGCTTTATCTTTTGTGACACTTGAACTGACTTGAAAGTTCAGGGAGGTAGAAAGCAGTCGCTTGCAATGGTCAGGTAACCTCTCACTGAAGATTAATGTTCAGAAAGCAAACTGTGCTTACCGATCGTAATCCATCACTGCAATGGAGAGGCTGACCTGATCCACATTCTCTGGAGGGATATCAAAGATGATGGCCTCGTTATAAACGGGATTGAGAGTGTTCTTCTTCGTGGTTGTTTTCCTCTTTTTCAGTCTTCGACCCTCACACATTAGTGACACTTTGACATATGGATCTGTGTAACAGATAATCAGTTGTGGGCATTTGGACTCAATGTCATTCAAATGTGTAGTGTAAGAGCAATATTTTTTTGTAGGAATGTCATATTGGTAAAGACAAAAGCTTACAATGATTTTAGTGACCCTGGCAAACACTGCTTTCAATATGCTGTCAATGCAAAGGAAAGGTATATGCATTCTGAACAGACATACCGACTGCCAGACCAAAGATAGCCAGTAGATCTGAACAGGGCCTACACCCATTCTCCTGCTACTTCCATTTCACAAGCATGCTAAACACACAAAACCCAAAGAGTTCCTATTTGTACCCTTCCTGAATAGACTCTGCCTTGTTATTTAAAAAATAAGTAGATTCACCTGATGCGCCAGTTATATCCATTGCTTTGAGATTCCTACATTTGATGACTGTAAATGTCATTCTCCCAGCAGTAGGCAAATAACAGAGGGAAAACATGATCTCACCCAAATCTATGCTTTCCTGAAAAAGAAAAGCAATGATTAGAAATCTGCCCATATTGCCAACAATTCAATTCAGATCATGCAAAAATTTAGCATTTTTTTTAACATGGAGAGATTTCTTTTGCAGCCTCAGATGCTTTTGAAGAGATCACAAACAACTTTCAGAAATTATTTCTGTAAAATACGGAAAGAGCGCCAACAGGATAATATTTTAGTGACAGGATCTAGAATTAATAAACTGAAAAATTAAAACAAAAGCAGAGCCAAAACTTTCTTGATTCCTGATATGTTTGTGTTGAATTTACACAAATGAAAAAGTGCTGAGTGTAGAACATCAAGTTCTGATGTTGAAAAGACTCAGACTCCATCCTCTCCAATAGAAAGAAATAAGGTGGAATATTTAGATGACACACATTTACATGCCTTTTAGCATGGAAGGCTAAATAAATTCCTACATAGAATTTATGTAGGATATTTATTTCTGCACACATGTATGCATATGAAAAGTTTATACTAAGTGCTTTGAAAAAATGAATGTGCTTGTAAAAGTTGCTAGCTTTAATGCTCTTACTGTTCTTTGAGGGGTTGTTCTGTTTTAGAGAAAAGCAAAGTAAAGGAGTAGCACCTACAACTTTCCTGGCTCAAGGGCAACTTTTTGGAGGATTATATACTCAGGAAGATGGATAAGGTCCATCTTAATAATCCTCACAAAAAGATAGTTTCCCTGTTGAGACATTGTGCTGTGAATTCGTGCAATCTGATATTGCTATACAGTTCAGATGCTACAACACTTGAGAAATGTAATCTAAGGAAGAGAGCTTCCATCAATTCTTATTTTTTCTTTCCTCACAGTTATATAATTATCCTAATATCACAAAAGTTTAGTTGTTGAGATGTTAGTTATGTTCTAAATTTCTAATTCCTGTTCTTCTAACATTTTAAAAATGCCCCCAGAAAAGCTCAAAGAAAATTGCATATTAAGAACAACTCAGGATTTTTAAATATGAGCTTGTGAGGAGCACGTAAGGAAGTCACTTCTGTAAGGCAGCCATTCTCAAGCATGCTCATGTGATCTCAGAGGACTTTGACTAATACTAAAAAGCTTATTTTTAATATCCCAGCTTCAATATTTTATCTGCCAATCCTCCAGCTACCCCAAGAGTACAAATTTGTTTGAGAACTGCTGGATTCATGGTACAGCTGTTCTAGCATCAGAAGGCAAGCATGATATATTTTTAAATGATACATACTAAAATGATGATTGTTGTGTAGATGACAAATACATTGCTTATAGTTATGAGACAGACTGGGGCTTCTTGTTCACATTTTTCAGCTGCTTATATGAACAGGTTTATAGACTTCCTTCGGGTTAATGCTTGTCTAAATTGAAATAGGTACTTCAGATCTTTCTTGAGTAAAGATGGACTTAATCACATGCTTCAGGGTTTTGGTCCCCCTCACTCCCCTGCATTGCAGACTCTAGATCAAAGAATGCAGTTTTAGAATAGCTTTAAATTCTCTGTTGCACTGTTAATAAAATATTGACTTTTGTGTAGGTTCATCAGTTCACGTGTTCAGACATTTTGTTGGGATTCTGTTCTAAGAATTGAGAGATTGATAAGCATGTGAACATGCACTGTGAGCAAATTTCATGCCTGTCAGGATTTCAGGATTTTAGATTTCTCAGGATTTCAAAATGATTTAGCTCATTCAGTCCACATAGGATAAATACAGCTGTTTGACATCTCCCTAGCCCAACCTGTTACTTTGCCACACAGAGCCCAGAATTTTGTGCCTCAGAGAACATTAACAAACTCACTTTTCTGTTTCAGAAAATATAAATAAAACTTGAACAAATGGAGTGTAATTCCTTTCACTGATTTGTTAAAGTAGCAAGTGCTCTGTTATATTTTAGTTTTTGTCATATCTGAAAGCTGTTTTGAGCACAGCTTCTATTGCTAGCACTACGTTCTGAATTTAGAGTCTGATTGTTGTTCCTCATATCCATATGTGAAAGAGATCTCACTCTTTTGTTTGAAAAGGAAATATAGCTCCCCCACATCCAGTGCTTCAAGGTCTATGTTGAGGGAGGTGATGAAGATGAGTTGGATTAAAAAACACAGTGGGCAGCTCATAAAAAGGACTAGTTCTTCCTTCTTCAGAGAGATGACTTGTGTAGGTGAATAGAGAAAAAATCATTTTTGCAAGATGGGAGTATGAACTTGAGTATTCTATTATTTCTTTTTGAAGACAAATTGGATAGACACTCAAAGGTTTGGGTGAGCTCAAATGATAAACAAGAATACAGACAGACAGGACCATTTACCATGACATAAATACTTTAAAAGAAACATTGCTCAAAATACTTGCAAATCTCCATGTGGTGATTACTCTACCCTACTTTTCTGAAGAGCAGAGAAAAGAATGAGTGCTTAACAAAATGGCAATGGTTTGAGGCTTATGCTCTGTCCTTTTTCTTTCCTTTCTGAACATGATGTACTGAAGTTATATTGAAAGAGAGCTTGGAAAATCCCCTGCCACCAAATCCAGTGATTTGACCATGCAATGAATAAGCAGGATGCCTTAATGCAAAAAGAAATGCTTGGACAGCAAATGAGGGGAATCTTTTTGCTCCGCACAGCAGACTGTCCAAAGGGCAGATGTACTGAAGTTACCCGAGCTCTTTAACCTGTGTACTGACTACTCAGTTTGAAGTGGTAAGTGATGGTTTTAGGATTGGGAAAAGGCTCTCTACCACTCCATTGTTTATGCAGGCATTTTCTGACTCCTATGACCTATAACTGGAAAAAATGTGGCTTGTGCTGCCCTGAAATGTCTGATTTTCATTTTGTGGAACAACACCTATGTTGCTCTATGCACTATTTCAATAGATAAATTCTGCAGTAGCCTAGAACAGATATTATTTCAAATAAACACCCTTGTCTATATCAAAGACATTTATGACTTACGCATTGTAAGTTCAAAGGGCTAGAAATAAAATTAGTAGTTACCCTGCACTAGTCCGTAGACACCATTTAACTCTCCTCCTGGTGAAGAGAACTGGCTGTCCTAGATTGCCACCACAGACTAGGAGTTCCCATTGTCCTCAGAGCAAGTTCAAATACAAGTCCTTTTAGAATCCTTTGAAACAACTCTGATGATTTTATCTTTTTAATTTAATTTGGTACTAATTGTGGCATCTGATGTTTGGTAGACAGTGTCTTTTTGGTTAGTAAGGAATAGAAAATCCTGGTACTTTTACTCACAGAATCACAGGATCATCAAATCATAGAATCACAGAATTGTTTAGGTTAGAAAAGACCTTTCAGATCATCAAGTCCAACCGTTAACTTAGCACTGCCAAGTCCACCACTAAACCATGGCCCTAAGCGCCACATCTACACATCTTTTAAATACCTCCAGGGATGGTGACTCAACCGCTTCCCTGGGCAGCCTGTTCCAATGTTTGACAACCCTTTCGGTGAAGAAATTTTTCCTAACATCCAATCTAAACCTCCCCTGGCGCAACTTGAGGCCGTTTCCTCTCCTATCGCTTGTTACTTCGGAGAAGAGACCGACACCCACCTCACTACAACCTCCTTTCAGGTAGCTGTAGAGAGTGATAAGGGCTCCCCTGAGCCTCCTTTTCTCCAGGCTAAACAACCCAAGTCCTTTCAGTCTCAGTTTCTACTCTGAGTATCTGTCGAGACTGGTGGTCTTTCTTCAGAGTTGAGTGAACGGAGTATGTTTTGTTAGGAGCTCTAGAAGTCATAGGGCAACTGGGGATTAAGATATTAAAATGCACCATTAAAATAAACATTCTTTGGAACTCAATCACACAAGGTGAAGCTCAAGACTTACGAACTTTTAAATGTTCTTTTGAAGGATTAAGATTAAAATTATGCATATGATAGCATCAGAAACTGGGTATTGGGTAAAATGTCTGCAATATCACCATTCCCACACACACTTTTTTGTTAACTTGAGCACTACAGGTTCATGAATTTGGAGCTGAAAACACAGGTTCAGACCTAGATAATGAACAAAGTAAGGCTCAGCATTTAAACTTCTCATGGCAGTCTTTGTCTACCACATGGATTATCCTGAGTAATATTTTTAAATTCCCTGGATCCTAAGTATTATTGATTTTAATTAGGATTTAAAAATAGGATTTAAATTACTTCAGAATCCCAGTGCTCTAGAAAAATTCGTATTTCTCTCACTTTATAATACACTAGATAATTAAGTTCACACAACTCATCTGACAGGAACTGTTCAGTCACGCAGATCTGAGGAAGCCAAGGCACAGACTGTCCTCAACAATCACGTCTGCATTACAGTCCACTTCAAACAAAACATGACATAGAAGGCACAAGCCTGGACCCAGTCGTTGCCCTCGTGCAAAATTTTAACTATGCTTCAGATTGTCTTACATGTATCATGTATTCAACTGGAATTGCACATTACTTAGGTAACTCCTATGAAATTTTATCTCTTTCCTAGGACTATTGTGAGTTTTTCTTTTTCTTCTTAAATTAAACTTAGATTTCAATTAACAGCTAGCTTTACAGATCCTTGTAATGATTACCCCCCACCGACTTCCAATAACGGGTACAGAAAAACCAGCATCGAGCACAGCTGCACTAATGCAAAAGGAAGCATTTGTTGTTACTGCACCTCTCTTCTTCATTTATTTCCCTTTTGTGTACACAAGCCATCATACAGAACTAAGGAACTGGAACAGTGGTAAGCGCTATACCAGCTTCAGTTATTTTTACAGCTCCCAGTTTACCTCACTACCCAATCCATTTTCTGGTACAGCAATGCTAGAACAAAACAAAACAAAGAAAACACAGACCTCAAATGCATATGTCAGCTATTCAGATGAAAAACAGGGTTTTTTTAGCTACACTACAGAATAAAGGTTCTTCAAATAGCATAATTCTCATCCCACATAAGCAACCACACCTGAATGGATGTGCTAATCATTTTCTCCATCAGGTTACCAAGGATCTGTCC